GGAAGGCTGAGGCGGAAGGATCGCCGCAGCCCAGCGGGTCGAGGCTGCGGTGGCCGGGAGGGGCCACTGCACTCCGCTCTGGGTGACGGAGTGAGACTCCAACTCAAAAAAAAAAAAAAACTAAACTAAAGGAGTGGAGTTGGAATGTTCTTAACACAAAGAAATAAATGCTTGAGGTGATGGATACCCCAATTATCCTGACTTGATTATGACACATTGTATGCCTGTATCAAAACATCACATGTAACCCATAAATATACAACTATTTTGTATCCATCATAATTTTAAAAATTTAAATGTCTTTCAAAATAAAAAAATTATTGTTCTAACTTGAATAGATATATGATTTTTAATGGTTTTTATTTTTTAATTTTTATTTATTTTTTATTTTTATCTTTTTGAGTTGGAGTCTCACTCTGTCACCCAGACTGGAGTGCAGTGGCCACTCCTGGCCACTGCAGCCCCGACCTGCTGACCTCTGGCCATCCTTCCGCCTCAGCCTTCCAAGTAGCTGGAATTACAGGCGCGTGCTACCATGCCCAGCTGATTTTTTGATTTATTGTAGAGATGAAGTCTCGCTGCCCAGGCGGGTCTCGAACCCGCGGGCTCAGGCAATCCACTCACCTCAGCCTCCCAAAGGCACGGGATTACAGGCTGAGCTACCGAGCCTGGCTCTTTATTTACTTTCTACTTGCTCTACCATCTAATCCAATTTACACTCTATTACTTGACATCAGTAAGTTAAATTACCATAAATTCCTGGACCTGAAGCCCAACTCACATCATTGTTAGGGTGGTCTCAGAAATCAGATGTTTTGACTTTTAAATTTCTGAGTCATCTCATCTCAGACGCAGAAACAAATATAAACTCTCTCTGGAAAAATTTATACCTCCATTTCTGGCCACAAAGCATTTCTAAAAATAACATCTGAGGGGGAAAAAAGCTTACTTTCAAAAATAATTAAGTACATGCCCACAAAATAAGAAAACCATTACTGAGTGAATTACAAGAAATAAATCTGTAAGAAACTTTAGATACTGAAATCTCTAAGCATAGACTCTAAAGTAACTCTGCTTACTAAATTTGAAGAAAAAAAATAAAATCTTTAAAAAATCTATAGGACATAAGAAACCGAAAAGCAAGACTAAACAGAGCTGACAAAGAGTCAAATATATTATCCAGAAATTGAAATTAAAATGAGTTAAGTTAAATTTGCCAATGGGTGACTACAAGAAGAGTAAGTAAAAGACCAATCTCTTTCATGAACAAGAATGCAAACATTTTAAACAAAGTGTGAGCACACTGAATACTCCAATATATACAATGGATGAAACATCATTACCAAATGTTTATTCTGGGAGTGCAAGATGGTTCAACATATGAAGAAGACAAATATAATTTACCCTATTAGTAGATTAAGGAGAAAAAACATACACATCTCAAGAGAAAAAGCACTTGATAAATTCGACATTCGTGTTGATAAATGTCAACAACAAATTAGGAGCACGGGAAAAGTTTTGCACTTTGATGAGGGGCAACTATAGAAAATCTAAAGCCATCATCAAAGCGTACCGTGAAAGACAGAATGTCCTCTTTCTTCCACAGATCAAAAATAAGGAAAGTGTCTGCTCTCACCACTCCTACTTAACGTAGTGCAGACCTGAGCCAGTAGAATAGGGCAAGAAAAATACAGAGAAGACTCACAGATTGGAAAGACTGAAACAAAACTGTCTATACCCAAAGACGGCACGACTCTGTAGAAAATCCCAAAGAATCTATAAAAACAATTCACTGCCTAATGAATGAGCTTAGAATAGTGACAGGATACAAATGTCAATATACATTGATCAGTTTGTTTCTATATATTAGTGATGAGCCAAAAATAAATTAAAATTCAACTAGAAGCTGATATTTTATTTTATTTTGAGTCGGAGTCTCACTCGGTTGCCCAGGATGGAATGCAGTGGTATGCTCATGGCCACCGCAGCCTCGACCTGCTGGGTTCAGGCAATCCTTCCACCTCAGCCTTCCAAGTAGCTGGAACTACAGGCATGAACCACCATGCCCAGCTAATTTGTTGAGGAGATGAGGTCTCACCAAGTTGCCCAGGCTGGTCTTGAACCCATGGGCTCAGGCAATCCTCTCACCTCAGCCTCCCAAAGTGCTGGGATTATAGGCATGAGCCTATAAACTGATATTTTAAAATACCATTTACAATAGCACTAAAAAACAAAAAAATACTTAGGACTCTATCTAAAAAATATGTCTAATATTTGTATGCTAAAAACAATCAAACACAGAGGAGAGAAATGAATGATCCTAAATAAATGGAGATACTTTGTGTTCTTGTACTAAAAGACTCGATATTGTCAAGATGTCAGTTATCCCCAAATTGATTTATAGATTCAATGTAATACCACCCCAAATCCCAGCAGTTTAATTTTCAAATCAACATGCTGATTTTCAAATTTATGTGGAAAAGCAAAGAATCTAGAATGGTCAAAATTATTTTGAAAAAGAACACATTTGGAGAACTCACAGTCCTTACTCTCCTATAGAGTTATCAATCGAGCCAGTGTGAGGTTGGCAGAAGGATAAAGACAATGATCAATAGACCTACTAGAGTCACAAATAGGCCTGGTCACATATGCCCACTGATTTTCAACAAAGGTGCCAAGTAAATTTAATAGAGAAATGGTAGTTTTTTTTTGTTTTGTTTTTTGAGTTGGAGTGTCACTCTGTCGCCCAGACTGGAGTGCAGCGGCCACTTCCGGCCACCGCAGCCTCGACCTG